AGGCCAGCCTGGTCTACAGAGCGAGATCCAGAACAGGCACCAAAAAAAAAAAAAAAAAAGGTCTTGAAAAAAATAAAATAGGAAATGAAGCTGCAAGCAGGGCCTAGGTCAGGCTGAGAGAAGCAGCTCTGCCCTTAGGGCTTACATCTCCAAGTAACAGGGCACTCCTGGGACATACCATACTTCCCCTATTTGCTCTCCAAGAGACAGGGCACTCCTGGGGCCTAAGATACATCCATATATTTGCCTTTCTACCTTTCTACAGTGCTGTTTGGTTTTTTGGGACAGGGTATTTATTATTCTATCTCAGGAACTTAGTATGTAAACTTAGATGCGATCAAATTTCTAGCAATCCTCCAATCTCCCAAGTACTAAATTCAAGGGGCAAGCCATTACACGGGGCTTTAGATTGCTAAACTCTTAAACTCATTGGCTGGGATAATTCTAGCCTACAAGTGACCATTCTTGAGTCCTGTAGTTAGAATCCAGTCCTGTAGTTAGAATCTGGTCCTTGAATGTCACTCAGGTTTTGTTTGTTTGTTTTGTTTTTTGTTTTTTGCATACAAATGGATGCTAAGGCAGTTAAAAGCACTGGCTGCTTTTTAGCCAGGGGAAATGGTACATACCTTTAATCCCATATGCTGGAGGCAGAGGTAGGAGAATCTCTGTGAGTTCAAGGCAAGCCTGATCTACATAGTGAGCATAACGACAGCCAGGACCTACAAAGAGATGCTGTCACCACCACCAACAACAAAAATAAATTAAAAGAACATTGGCTGCTTTTGCAGAGGACCTTAGTGTGTGTCTGTCTGTCTGTCTGTCTGTCTGTCTCTCTCTCTCTCACACACATACACACACACACACACACACACACACACAGCACACATGTACATGCCTGCAAAACATAGTTTAAAAAAGAAATAAACCAGTTGAGGTAGAGAAGGCAGAGGTGGTATATTCAAGAGATAGTTTCCATAAAACGTTTACTACCAACTGCCCATTTTATGTGTTGCAGGAAGTAAATTGGGCTTGTAGTGGTTGGAGCTCAGCAGTAGAAACTGGGGCATATATTTTTATTTTTATATATTTATACATTATATATATTTATACTGGGGCAGAAAATTTCCTATTTGTCTCACAGTTTTATATAAATGGTCAATGAATAAGCAAAGAAATTGGACAAGTACCACAAAATACACACTCTAGGCACACGTAGCCTTTAGCCATTGCCAAATGTCACAGCAGAGATGGAGCTATACAGAAAAATACTGATTTAGAGGGAGATTGTAAAATAGCCAAGGAAGACTGAAGAACAGGCAAATATAGCCATAGCTCACCACCCCCACCCCCTTAGTAAAATATAGGTACTAAATCTAGTGTTTTAGTATGCCATATGCCAAGTACTCTTCTACATGTTGAGAGAGAATCTTCTGCTTGAAACTTCTAAGTTCCTAAGCTGGCCTTGAACTCCATATAGCTCAGACAACCCTTGAACTTCTGATCCTCCTACCTTAGTCTCATGAGTAATTAAAGATTACAGATATGTAACAGTAAGTACATATTATTCTTCCTTCCCAACAACCAGTAAGATTTACTAAGGACTACTGTCTGCAAAGAGAAATTACAAACATATTCAGGATGTCTTGGCACTAACTCAAGTACCAGGCAGGGCTTTTACCAGCTCACCAGCCCCAGGAAATACATACTTGAGAATGCAGATTAGTCCCTTGAACTGTGGGGTTGTGACATGGAGTGGTATAACATTGCAAAGGGCACTGACAGATCCAAATGCAAAGGGAAAAGGGGATCTAACATGTTTCAAAACATCAGTGTAGTGTGCCTGAAACAGTAGAACACAACAGACTGAGATGGAAGGCTACAGAAGGATGTATAGTGGAGGGAGCCTAGAAATTGAGTTACATGACGAGTTGTAGAAATTAGTTAATTTGAAACATCACACAAGGTGAAATGAGCAATAAGACATAAATATGAAACTTTTCCAGCAGAATCTGAGCTGAAGATACAAAATGGGGAATTTCTGAATATAGGAAGCCCTTGAATTCACTGGCTCACTTAAGTGTACTGGAGACAGGAAGATGACAAGGAACAAAATCTAAGAGCTCTCTTGAGTCTCCTATATCAAGATGTCAGAGAGAGAAAGAGAAAACTCAGAAGAGGCTGGAAGGCCCTGGAAGACTATACAACTATGTTAAAGCTAAGAACTGATCAGGGGTTGAGATTAACTGCAAAGCACAAGAGTTTTTGTAGAAAAAATGACCTTCATTTTGATTGTGGTGATTATCACCACCACTTGTTAATGTGTTTGTCAAAATGTATTGACCTGCACTCAAAACCAGTGCATTGTATGAAATTAAGTGAATTAAACCAAGTTTAAGACAATACACCTGTAATCTCAGCACTGAAAAGGTACAGGCAAGAGGATTAGAAGTTCAAAACCAATTTGGGGAGAAAAGTAATCAGCAGGCTTATTCAGCAGTGTGTTACACTTATTTGCCAGCCAAAATATGCCTACTGATACAATAACAGCATGACTGCCCTGATGAGGACAACCAACCATTTTCTAATTGGATCAGAGCCCCACTACACAGAAGAGAATTCTCACCTACTAAAGAGCCCTATGACTAGGGAAGTCATAGGCCCTAGAGAGAAAGCTACTACTGTTGTTTTAAACAAACATTTTGTGCCCTTATAAAGAAGCACTCATGTTTGTGCCCAATAGTGCTACTGTCAGCTTTGGTCAAAGAAACTTCTTTTTGCAGATGACAGCAATTGTGGTTGAGACTTGTTAACTAGTCAAGTATGAAGAATTAACTGTGTTGAATATTCAGCCCTAAATGGGACATCTGTTACACTTACCATCCAGAATTAAGGAAATATCAATGAAGAGGGCACATAAAAGAATGTAAGAGCTGGGTGGTGGTGGTGCATGCCTTAATCCCAGTACTCTCAGGAGTCAGAGGTAGGAGGATCTCTGTGAATTTGAGGCCAGCCTAGTCTACAAAGAGTTCCAAGATAGCCAGAGCAGTCATACAGAGAAACTTTGTCTCAAAACAAACAAAAAAAAGAATGTAAGAATGAGGGAGATGGCATTGGAAAATGCTGTCTTCCTGACTTGGTTGTTAAACTAATGAACTCACAACAGCACTGATTACTTCATTAAAGCCTGCACAAAATTCCATTATATTATAGATCCTCATCAGTAAGATTGCTAGGGGAGGGAGACACTTTCTTCAGTAGTAGAGCCACTGCTAAGTTACCCATGCTGCTGTAAGCAGTCCTAAATAAACTTCCTGGGACCAAAAAGAAAACCAAGTAGAAGGGTAGTGAATTAGATGGGAAGAAAAGGATCAATGAAAGTTGAAGAGTAAAACAAGAGAAGATAAATAAGGGGCTGAAGAGTAGACTCAGAAATGAAGAGCTGCTTACTGCTCTTCCAGAGTTAGGTTTTCCACACTTACACTGGGCAGCTCACAACCTTTTAAGTCCAGCTCCAAGGGATCTGATACCCTCTGCTGGCCTCTGATGAGACTGCATTCATGTGCACATAACACACACCCATACAGACACAGAAATCCAAAATTGTACAGTTAGTATAGACTAATAAGCTTTGCGCCTTTAATCACTGAGCCATCTTGACAACCCTTGCTTTTAAATGAACAAGTATCAGGAAGTGATGGAACAATGTAAAACATGTAGATGTAGTAGTATTGGAATCCTGAAGGGAGGACAAATAAACACTTTTAATTTGTGTGTATGTGTATGTGTGTGCCTTAGGAGGCAGAGGTCCTGGAACTGGAATTATGGGCAGTTGTGAGCTGCCTAATGTGGGTATGTCAAACCATCTCTCCAACCCCTTGAGGAAAACTTTTAAGATTCTGTATCTTAGAAAATCATTGGAAAAAAAAAATTTTTTTTGAGACAGTTTCTTAGTGTAGCCTTGGCTGTCCTAGAACTCACTCTGTAGACCAGGCTGGCTTCAAACTCAAGAGACATGCCTGCCTCTGTGCTAGAATTAAAGGTGTGTTCTACCACTACCTGATGAATAAAAAATTTAATACAAAAAAAAAAAAAAAAAGCAGGACTGGGTTTAGTGGCATTAGCCTCAGCAATCCAGAAAGCTGAGGCAGGAAGATCCTAATTTTTCTTTAAATTTACATCACATTACTACTCTACTCAAAACCCTGCAACACAAATTCATCCCATTTTTAAAAGAGACCTGAAATGATCAGTCCCATCTCTGCCTTCTTGACCATTCTTGTTACCTCCCTCCTTACTGTTGTTATAACGGGCCAGGTATATTGAGTCTCTGCTAAAGCTCTTACCTACAACTCTCCCCAGGTATCTGTTTGCCTCTCATTTTAAATTAAATTTTAGCTATATTTCTCTCTTAAAAAAGTTAGACCTCACTTACTATAAAATCATAGACATATATTCACTGCTTAAGTTCTCCACATCCTCTCACACTACTCTGCACTACAATGCTATACATCCTAATTCTCTGCATTTACTGTCCTTAATATAAAGCTTATTTGGATGACGGAGCTTCCATTAAGCCTCAGTGGCGAAGACATCATGTAGGACAAACAGAACAGTCTTTTAAAATGAAAAATGGCATGGCTTAGTGCAGAACTAACTCTGGAGTGGTAGAGAGAAAAGCTGGGTTAAAATAGGTTTAAGAGAAAAACAAATGAAGGGGCTCTGCCATTTATCCTGACAACCTGAGTTCCATCCCTAGGACCCACACTGAAGAACCAACTCGTACAAGCTGTCTGCTGGCCGCCACATACATGCCACAGCATACAAGCACCCCACACATACAAAAACTAATGTGAAAAAAGAACAAAACAACTGAAGTAGTAACTGGAAAGCAAACAACAGAAAAGGTT